ATTTTTTTAATAAGATATTCTGGATATTTTATGGACATACCAAAGATTATTATATGTCAGTTGACATTTTTAACTTAGTTAGGAAAATAATCAAAAAAATAAAAAGTTACAAAAACCTAAAGACGGTTCCAGTAGGCCAAAAACCAAAGTGATTGACAGAGATACCATAAAAAATTAAAAATTCGCCCAGAAACAAAGTTGATAATCGTTTGTTGCAAATCAACACTCCGAAATACAATTTTTCGATAAATCAATAAAACACTTTTCCCCAAATTTTTATCCTTAAAAATATCTCCAATTTATTAAAAAATCACCAAAATGTGTTAAAATGAATGTACTGATTAACAGGGATATTTTCAGGGGTAAAAGTAAAAGAAACCTTGGTACCCAATAAATTAGAAACTAGAGCTTAGAAGAAAATTACAAGGAGATACAAAAAAAAGGTTGTCCGGCAGAAGGGGTATCCATGCCGTATTGTTTAGTTTTATTGAGTACATTTACGCTCACATTATAAATTTAATCAACTTTATTATTAGTATTATTATATAAAATAAAATGTACGAGATACAAATGAAATAATCAAAATATTCTGGAGTCTAAAATAAATAAAATTTTTCATTATGACATACGATAAAATCTAGAAGAATTATCCATTTTTTAGTTAAATACAGGACATCACAGACGGAAATCCCCTAACCGAATCGAACCCCAAAATTTTATTTTTTATTTGCTGATTAAAAATTGGTATTTAAGGGTTTTTGAAGGGTACTTAAATCAACACATTTTTTTCAAATGCAAATTTTTTCCTTACTTTTCAAAAAGCGATTTTATCACTTTTTATAAATATAATTATAAATATTGTTTTCTTGAAAAGGAATATCTGAAATGATACTGAAATATATACAAAACAACAACTGAAAATATATTTTAAAATAATTTAAATTATTCAAATATATTTCATTCGAGGATCTCAAGGCCCTTTGGCAGGAAACCTGTCAGATAATTTTTGCCCTACTATCACCTAAAAATTGAACACAAAAATCGATGATTCCACTTAAGTACCTTCCCCAAGAAAGTATCTTTTAACAACCAAACCAATATGTAACTTTGTTTTTTGTTAATTGATTTTAAAGTTTCATTAAATTTGACATAGTTAAAATTAATGTTTGATTGGCAAAAGTAAACATGACTAACCAACTTTTTTTAAGGCTAGACGGAGAAAAAATAATTCTTATCGTCATCTAGACAAGTTTGGTTTGGCTCCGAAAGTGCAGTTTCTTGTTAGCAAGGCGCTTGAATAGATTAAAACCCTTATGACCGATTGGTCTTGACGGTTTAACATAGCGAAGCGCCGTTCATAACTCCACGTTTTCAGCCGTAGATTTTTCTCACGGCTCTTTTTCTATTTTTTTCAAAAATAATAATAATACTTTTTTCTCTTTTTTCTTTTAGTAAGTTGTACTATTCATATTATTAAATATTTAAATTGGAAAAAATCATTCCTATCGTCACCTAGACAGATTTAGGTTTGGCTCCTAAAGTGCAAGGTTTCTTGTTAGCAAGGCGCTTGAATAGATTAAAACCAGCATGACCGATCGGTCTTGAAGGTTTAACATATCGAAGCGCCGTTCATTACTGCACTTTTACAGCCGTAGATTTTTCTCACGGCTCTTTTTCTATATTTTTCAAAAAAGAAAAATAATACTTTTTTCTCTTTTTTCTTTTAGGTAGTTGTACTATTCATATTATTAAATATTTAAACTGAAAGAAATAAATATACTACTTTATCGAGGGGATTAAACTGACCTCGGATCACCCATCATTCGAATTTTCCGTTCTTTTTGTCATTTTTCAAAATTCGAAAGGTTGAGATGGGGAGTTGGTATCCGAGTGGATCGACTTGACGATAGCTCAATTGGTTAGAGCAACGGCGTATTGAGCCAAAGGTCGCGGGTTCGAATTCCGCTCGTGACACTTACATTTTCATTTCAACCAATACCTTACATAAAATGATTAAATAATTGAAAGAAGTTATTTGTTCCATCGGACCTTGAAATATAATGAATATTAATACTAATAATCATCACAATGTTTATACAAAATATGACGTTATTTACAACAATATTCATCTAGAGAGAATATTAAAAAAATGAAAATATGATGAATTTAAAAAAGGTCCTATGCTGCCTAAACTGATAAGGAGGCTTGGAGAAGTTAATGTTGCTTAGAAGTTGAGGACAGCCATATATGAATTTTTAATTTGAAAACGAGTTAGAAAGTTGAAATGTAATCTATCTCTTTTTATACGATTAAGTTTAACTGTGATTTAAACTGTTTATAATCGGAAATGATTATAACCTTAACAGTAATGATTCTTAAAAATTTATTTTCTACTTCTTAAAGTTTCTGATTTGCATGAGCAGTGTTCGAGTGCAGATCTCTCTATAGAATAATGTAGTAATGAAATAAAGATAAAAAATAAAACTAGAAAAAATTATTAAAGATTTCACTATGTTGATGATAATAAGAAAAAGACAAATGCCAATAGGCAAAATACTAAAAAAAGAAATCTAGACTCGAATTCCAGCTAGCTAAGCAAAAGCATCTAACATTTTTCAAAAATAACGACATACAAACAATCATGAACCAAACATAATAGATACAAGATTGGCTTTGAAACAAAATATCAAAAAGGACGAAAATTCATTCTCCTGGCGGACGTAGAGACATAAAATAAATAATGATTAAAAAAGGAAAATTATAAATGTAAAAATAAACTTTCATTTATCTAGCACTAACAACACTATGAAACAAAAATCGCAAACGCTCAGAAGAAAACAACATAAAAATAAATAAAAATAAACACGTCCGAACATTGCACACTATGACCACGATCCCTACCCAAATGGCCCAAGCGAGAACCGATGGACCCAACGAGACGTACTTGAACAAAAAAAAAAAAACGCGGGAGTGAAGACGGAACCAATAAGTGACCAAATACCGTTTCAGCATGAGCTCACCGTCTCGGACACCAACACCGAGCATCAACTATAATTTAAGTCTTTCAATTAATTATTCTTTTTATGTAGAGTCTTGGTTGAGATGAAAAATTTAGTGCCACGGGAAGGATTCGAACCCACGATATACACGAACCTCAATTCGATACGCCGCTTCTCTAACCACTTGAGCTATGTAGCCTTTTTGAGCTATTATACTTTCACGACCGATCCGTCCTGCGGTTTTTAATCTATTCAAGCGCCTTGCTAACAAGAAACTTTGCCCTTTCGGAGCCAAACCAAACCTGTCTAGATGACCAAAAAAAAATTTTTTTTCTGCGTCTACCCCAAAAAATATCCATGTTGCAAAAATGTTTGTTAGTCATGTTTAGCTTCTATCAATCAAACTTTCATTTTTAACTCAACCTTAATTTAACTTTAAAATCAATAAACAAAAACGAATATTATTTACATATTGTTATGGTTGATAAAAGATATTTACATGGGGAAGCTACTGACTTGGTATCATCGAATTCTATGAAATTTTTGGTTGACTCAGACACCAACAATGAACATCAACTATACTTTAAGTGTTTCAATTGATTATTCTTTTTATGTAAAGCCTTCGTTGAGATGAAAAATTTAGTGCAACGAGCATGATTCGAACCCACGAACTTCGGCTCAATACGCCTCTTCTCCAACCACTTGAGCTATGTAGCCTTTTTGAGCTCAAGTGGTTAAAGCAGCGGCGAATTGAACAGAAGATCGTGGGTTCGAATCCCGCTCGAGGTATTAGCATTTCCATCTCAACCAAGACTTTACATGGAAAGAATTATTAATTGAAAAAAGTTATTTGGTACAAGATAGTGTAACCGGTGATGGGAAAAATTTATAAATTTAAAATGAATCAAATCTTGGTTTAAGTAGATTTAATAATTGTAAGTAGAATAATAAGAAACAGTGTCGGCAAAAGGGGGACCTAGGTGCTATGTCAGCAACCCGGCCTCGGGTGAACGGATCCCGGGGTTACAATAGTTATATATCAGTCTATTTCTTTCAGATCTAGGATGAAAAAAATAATAAGAAAGATTGTGTTAAAAAAAATTATCGTTGCAAAAAAATAACAAAAAACAAAAAGACATTTTCCATATGGTAGGCAAAACAATTTACTTTTTTATTACGAAAAGCACAATTTAGGTTCATTTTAGACACTTTCAACCTATAAATACGAATTTTCATAGCTTTTATCAATTTTCATTATAATAAATATACATTTTTGAGGTGAATTAGGGGAGAATTATGTGAGGGTATTAATAAAGATAATTTTTTTCGTCAATACAAAAAATTCATACAACTGTCTGAAAGCTAAAATTAACTTATTTTAAACTTTTCCAACGTTATACAAATTTTCTGTTTTTAACAGTGAGAAAATTAATGTTAAAATCAACAAAAATTCCTCAATTGTTTTATTTTGCTGTCGCTTCCTAGCCATGGTGTGCAGGATATGCTTAGAAATACTTGCAAAATTGATGAAGGGGTGGTATCAAAGTATTCACTATTTTTGTTTGACGATCATTTTTATTCAGAAGTTTTTGAGGTTGTAAACAATTATGACGAACTTTTTTCTTGATAAAAAAAATAATTATACCTTTGGTACAACGCGTTTTGAACCTTTAATCTCATTATCGAATGGAATTACCTAATTTCGCAAATAATTGTGAAAAATGGACCCGCTCCGGAAAGATTTGATGAACAAATATTCACCTCTTCGAAGAAAATTACAAAATCTGGCTAGAATAGCACATGAATTTGATTAATCTAGGGTTTATTTTTTGATATGTGGAGCATGTAAAGCATTTCAAGGTAAAAATGAAAGATTTTAATTAAATGTGAAAAGGAATTCAAAGTGCGATAATTTTTGTAGTCGTCAACCTTACTGTGTTCTACGCAGAAAACTAAGCTCGTTGAAAGGTTAAAAGTAAAAGCAAACACATGCACACTCACCGACATTTGTTCGGACAGATCGTTGACTTTACAATGGAGGGTAATTTCCGCGCCGAGCTGGACAGTGTTGTTGACGGGGTTGGGGCCGTTCTCGAAGTACGGCGGCGAAAGGGTCGTACGATCTGGGTAGCCGTAGGATTTCTGAGTTGTCGTCTCCATCCAAAGCATTTTGAGGAGATCGTCAAGATTCGGGTCTTGGTTACGATCTGAAAAACAAATATGATTGAAAATTACAAAACTATATGGGTCCTATTTATAAATATATTCTGAGATATATAAATCGTTTGTTACTTGAGGTCATCATGATCTGACTAGTTTGCGATTTGGCAGTTTTTCGTAGTGGGTTAGTAGATCAAATTAAACAAAATATTCCATAATTAAATTCTACTTTTTATTATGTTTCGTGGTCCGCTTGCCCAAGTAAATTCTTTTCAATTAATTAAGGTTTTGGTTGAGGTAAAAAAATTCAGTGTCACAAACGGGATTCGAACCTACGAACTACGGCTAAATACGCCACTGCTCTACCACTTGAGCGATCGTGACTTCGATCCACCGGGACACCAACTTCTCATCTCAACCCCACGTTTTGAATTTTCCCTCCTTAATTAATTGAAAATAATTTATTGGTTCTAATAGTCCTAACGAAGTTTTAGAGCCAATAATAAAACAAAAATATTTTAGGCAATTTATTTGTATGTTTTTATAACTTTTCATATTTTATGGTACATTAGTTCATATATACTTCAGTAAAGCTCTCCGTAGCCATTTCATTTGTCGCCGAGAATTCAATCCGATTACACGACATTTGAAAAATGGCAAAAAAAGGAGGGAAAACTCAAGAGGTTGAGGGGTTGAGATGGGAAATTAGTGTCCGATTGGATCGAAGTCACGATGGCTCGAGTGGTGGAGAGGCGGCGTGTCTAGCCGAAGATCGTGGGTTCGAATCCCGCTCGTGCCATTGACTTTTTTATCTCAATTAAAAACCTTAATTGATTGTAATATATTAATTGGTCAAGCGGACCACGAAATTAGTGAATTTAATGAACAGTTCATAAATTTTTCCATATCAGATTTGTTTTCTTTACGTACGTAAGGACTTAATATGCAGGAGGAAGTATTTTGATGATACTAAGGCAACGATTTCTAGAAATTTAACTACTTGAATAATTTTTTAAAATATGGGTTTTCACTTTTATTTTGCATAGGTAACTACAAAAGTTGAAGATCTGTTTAAAAAACGATTTTATAGAAAGTTTATTTCAGATCAATTTTTGTGATTACTTTTATATATTGTGCCAACGACAGGTTTTTCGTGTTCTTATTTCTGATAGAATTGAATATTATTTAAAATGTCATTTTTATGTATTATTTGGCTGATACAATATGGTGGTTAATTTTTCTATTTATTTATCTTTATGTAAGGTATTGGTTGCGAAAAAAAAGTCAGTGTCACGAGCGGGACTCGAACACAAGATCTTCGGCTTGATACGCCACTGCTCGACAACTTGATCTATTGTGACGTCGATCCACTCGGACACTAAATTCCCATCTCAACCTCACCTCTCGAATTTTCCCTCCTTTTTGCGATTTTTCAAAGGAAAATTCGAAAGGTGGGTTGAGGTGGGAAGTTAGTTTCCCAGTGGATAGAAGTCACTATAGCTAAAGTGGTAGAGCAGCGGAGTATTGAGCCGAAGTTCGTGGGTTCGAATCGAGCTCTTGACATTGACTTTTTATCTCAACCAATATCTTACATAAAGATTCTATAATTGAAAAAAGTTAATTGGTGAATCGGACCACGGACTCTAATGGATTGTGGATATGAAATTCAATTGAACTCAAAATTTAAACAATGTTTCTTCTCAATTTTTGAAACTAAAATAAATCCCAATCCTATAAAATTCAAGTTATATCCAATACCTGTAGTGTCAACCATCATCTTTCCTAGAATATTTATTCTTTTGTAATTTAGTTTTTTAACGTGTCTGCCCGTTTTTAAAACCGATTCAGATAAAATGGGCCAACTTCGATATAAATAGAAACCTCTGACAATAAAAATGAATGCATAAAAAAATTAAATTAACATCAATTCACTATTACTTTTTAAAAGTATCGTTCCTACTCACAGTAAGTTGTTTTGCAACGATCCGGATTTCGAGCCTTTTAGCTCATCATCAGGTTGAAGGACTTCTACAACCACGTCTCTCGACATAAATTGCCAAACCTGATGATGAGCTAAAAAGCTCGAAATTCGGATCGTTGCAAAACAACTTACTGTGAGTAGAAACTATCCTTTTAAAAAGTATTGAACACCACACTCACTCCATCATTTATCATTTCTATTAAATTCACTAATTTTGTGGTCCGCTTGACCAATCAATATATTACAATTAATTAAGGTTTTTAGTTTTAAGGTTGAAAAATGGCAAAAAGGAGGGAAAATTCAAAAGGTGGGGTTGAGATGGAAAGTTAGTGTCCGAGTGGATCGAGGTCACGATAGCTCAAGTGGTAGAGCAGCGGCATATCTAGCCGAAGATCGTGGGTTCGAATCCCGCTCGTGCCATTGACTTTTTTATCTCAACTAAAAACCTTAATTAATTGTAATAAATTAACATAGTTTATATACTCTTTTAATTACACACAATTTTTTTGAAATGAAAAATTTGTGTCACACGCGGGATTCGAACCTACGACTTTCAGCTAAATACGCCCTTGCTCTACTAACTTCGATCGCCCATGCCACAAACTTCCCATTTCGACTCCCCGTTTTATTCCAATTAATTGAGTAATTGTATAATTACGAACAAGCTGATAAAATAGTTTATATTTTTAAGCTTCTAAAATGATATGCAATTGAAAAAAATTATTAATCAGAAAAATCGAAGATTATAAGTTTGTCAGTTCTTTCTTTTCATGGCATAACCTAGAAATCTTTTATTGAACTGTAGTATTTGTAGTATTATTAGAAGTTTCATTTCAAGGTGTAATCTAGGAAGTGTTGTAGTCTATGATTAACCGTACGACCTATTTGTTTTAGAGAGATAAAGTTGATTTTTCTTTGCTGATTGCAATCACATGGTGTTCTAATAACGTTATCGGTTTTATAGATTAATTAAATAACCCGTTGTGCTAAGTCTGTATATTTTTAGATATTGGTATCACGAGTTCGGTTGTTCTTTTGGCTTCGATTAATCTCGTTTTTACGTCCGGTTGTATTTCTCATTTTCTTCTGGTTACGGTTTATGAACTTATGAACAAAACTGAAAATAGGAAAGTAAAATATATCGAAGTTATACAAAAGTTTACATAGTTTAAACTGGTTCTTGAAACTTTACCGCTAATATAAAACTTATAGAATAACCTGTTGTTTTCGGTTATACGCTTCAATTGTTTCCTGATAGGCTCGATGCCTTCATTATTTAATTTGTGTGCCTAATTTCGCCATTGTGGCATGTTAGACGCTCGGGAGACTGGAAAATTTATAATGATAGAGAAGATGGAGTTGGAAGTTTTGCTATTACAAGGTGAGAAGTTCTGTTTCAATTAAGAAGTAGATTTCACCGAAAATTTAAGGTGTAAATATATAAGCAAATGTATTTTATACGAAAAAAAATCTATGTAACAAAAGATTTGCAAAATAGAAAATATTTCGAAAAGCTCAGAATTCCATATTTTTACGCTATCTAGACACGGATACGTGGATTAGACCGTCACAGATTTGAAATATTTGTTATTGGAGAAGATAACAACTCCGGAGAGACTAAGCCTCACACAATAACACCTGTAGGCTGACCGTATCTGTGCAAATGTTCAGAGTAAACATTTTCCCTCTTCACTCCTTTTCTTGATGTTTACTCAAAGCCGCAACTTTGTCGGCTTTCTTCTTATCGTGCGAGACTAAAAAAACACCCCCGGCGAGAGAGGGAACGAAAATTGTAGTACAGTGATTCGTACATGTTACAAACAGCTCGTTACATTATATAAATTTGTTTGAAATAAATTTCTATTAGGAGAAATTCCATTTGATTTGCAAAAAAGTTAAAAATGACAGAGAAAAATAAGTTCCATTCGAAAAACATTTTCGTTTTGAATTTGATTTGAAAAAAATACTTTTTGTGGAAAGTCGATTTAGAAAAAGTTCTGTTTCAAAAGTTGTATCTAATTTGAAAAGAAAAATTAAAATTGGTCCGATTTAAATTGGGAAAGTTCAATGCGAGTATTTATTTGATTTGAAAAAAGTTTGGAAAGAAAAAAATTGAACGTGATATGAAAAATAATTCTAAAGAAAGGAACGTATGATCGAAAATTTTTTAATTTGAATTGAAATAAATTTGCTTTAGGTAAATTACATTTCATTTGAAAAAATTAAATGAGAAAAAGAAAAAGATTAATTTAATTGAGACAAAAACACATTCAATTTAAAAAAGGTTCTTTTTGAGTAAAGTTACATTTCATTTTACAAAGTTTGGGTTTTGGAAAGTAATATCTAATTTTGAAAAAGTTCCTCATTTGAAGGAAATCAAATTCGTTATTGAGAAAGTTCAATTTGATTGGAAAAAGGCTATATTTGATTTGAAATTTTTTTTGTTGAACGTGATAAGAAATAAAAGATCTAAGAAAAGAAACGTGTGATTGGAAAAATTCAATTTGAATTGAAATAAGTCGGCTTTAAAAAAAAAACATTTTAATTGGAAAAAATTAGTTGAGAAAGAAAGATTACTTTCCATTTGAGAAAAAATTCTGACAAAAGTTACATTTCATTTTGCAAAGTTTGGTTTTTGTAAAGTTACATCTGATTTGGAGAAAGTTCCTCATTAGAAAAAAATCAAATTCCATATTGAGAAAGTTCAATTTGATTGTAAAAGGCTATATCTGATTTGAAATTATTTTTGCAGGAAAAAACGTTGAACGTGATAAGAAAAAATGATCTAAGGAAAGAAACGTGTGATCGGAAAAATTCAATTTGAATTGAAATAAGTCGGCTTTAGAAAAATTACATTTCGTTTGAAAAATTTAAATGAGAAAGAGAAAAATTACATTCAAATTGAGAACAAATTCTGAGAAAAGTTACATTTCATTTTGCAAAGTTTGGTTTTTGGAAAGTAACATCTGATTTGGAAAAAGTTCCTCATTTGAAGAAAATCAAATTCGATATTGAAAAACTTCAATTTGATTGAAAAAAAAGCTGTACTTGATTTGAAAAATGTTT